GCCTGGCCCACTTCGGGTCCGGAGGCGTGTCTGAAGACCCCAGCGTGCACACCAAAAGTCGCCTCTTCTCCTGACTTTCTCTTCAGCCATTGGGACCAAGAGAGAGAGAGAGAGAGAGAGCCCCTCCGGCTGGAGGTATCTCCCACCTCCGCTCCCTCCTTTGTTTTTGCGCCTACCTTCAGGAAAGGTGGGCATCTCCACCTCTGTCTCTCTCTCTCTTGGTCCCAATGGCTGAGGAGAAAGTCAGGAGAAGAGGTGACTTTTGGTGCATGCCGGGGTCTTCAGGCACGCCTCCGGACCCAAAGCGGGCCAGGCAAGGGAGGAAGTGCGGCAAGTGTAGTTACTGGGATGTATAGTTCACCTACAATCAAAGAGCATTCTGAACTCCACCAATGATGGAATTGAACCAAATATGGCACACAGAACTCCCACGATAAACAGAAAATATATATCAATGATTGGTTGGGGGGGGGGGGGTGTGTGCCAAAATACTGTTTGCTTACCGTTGAAAATTACCTAGGGCCGCCTCTGAACATGAGGAACCATCTTTAGGGGTCCCGGTGTTAGAAAGGTTGAGAACCACTGCTCTAGGATCTCTTGGTCCTCCAGCTGGTCTCTGTGGTCAACTTTTGGTTGGTGTCCCTCTGCATTGCCAGGGATACAGCTTAATGGTGTAACATTAGAAAATGTGGACCCTTCCCATCTTCATTGGTGCTCTGACTTCCCAGGGTCTTCCAAAAGTCCTAATCTTCGGTATAAGAGTCCTTTACTTCGTTTATCATATTGCTGACAAAGTATCTTTCACACCATCCTTTTAAAAGTTCGTCAAGTCAATTATTATGGAAATTTCTTTTGTTTTTAGATAGTCCTTAAAGCCTGTCCAATCTGTTTTCTTCCTTACTCCGTTTATTCTTTCGGATAGATTGTCCATTTGTATGATGTCAAATGCTTTGGTGATCCAATCTTCTTGGGTTGGTACTTCTTTTTGCTTCCATTTTTTTGCAATGACTATTCTGGCCGCTGTACTCAGTAGAAATAAAATTTTATCTTGGTTTTTATTCATTTTGGTCTCTTTAAGTATCCCTAATAAATATGTTTCTGGAGCTTGCGGATAATTTATTTTTAGTATTTTTTGAGTAGCCCTATGAACTTTATCCCAGAATTTTTTGATTTTCCCACATGTCCACCATTGGTGGAAGAAGGTACCTGTCTTCCTTTCACACTTCCAACATTTTTCCGAAATTAATTGGTTTTTTTTTAATTTAGCTGTTTTTTCTGGTGTATAATGCCAGCGGTAGAACATTTTGAACCAATTTTCCTTAATGTCACTGGCTACAGTGTATCTAATTTTAGTGGTCCAAATTTCTTCCCATTGACTCGTCATAATATTATATCCTAAGTCCTTAGCCCATTTTATTTGGCATTCTTCCACTTGTTCTTCTTCTGTGTTCCATATTTGTAGTTGTTTGTATAACAGCTTTATTAGTTTTTTATCTTTTTCCATAACGGCATCCCATAACCCCTTTTTTTGTTCAAAGCCCAATTTTTCATCGTCTTTATAACCTTCCCGTATTTGGTAATAATTTAGCCATGTGAATTTTGGGTTTATTTTCTGAAACTCCTCATAGGATTTTAATACCATATTTCCCTCTTCATTTTTCTTCAGTAGTTGATGGTAAGTTGGCCAGTTTTCTATCCCTGTTGTTGTTGTTCATTCGTTCAGTCGTCTCCGACTCTTCGTGACCTCATGGACCAGCCCACGCCAGAGCTCCCTGTCGGCCGTTACCACCCCCAGCTCCCTCAGGGTCAGTCCAGTCACTTCAAGGATGCCATCCATCCATCTTGCCCTTGGTCGGCCCCTCTTCCTTTTGCCTTCCATTTTCCCCAGCATCATTGTCTTCTCTAAGGTTTCCTTTCTTCTCATTATGTGGCCAAAATACTTCATCTTTGCCTCTACTATCCTTCCCTCCAATGAGCAGTCGGGCTTTATTTCCTGAAGTATGGACTGGTTGGATCTTCTCGCAGTCCAAGGCACTCTCAGCACTTTCCTCCAACACCACAGTTCAAAAGCATCGATCTTCCTTCGCTCAGCCTTCCCTAAGGTCCAGCTCTCACATCCGTAGGTGACTACAGGGAATACCATGGCTTTGACTCAGGCGGATCTTTGTTGTCAGTCTGATGTCTCTACTCTTCACTATTTTATCGAGACTGGACATTGCTCTCCTCCCAAGAAGTAAGCGTCTTCTGATTTCCTGGGCACAGTCTGCATCTGCAGTAATCTTTGCACCTAGAAATACAAAGTCTGTCACGGCCTCCACGGTTTCTCCCTCTATTTTCCAGTTGTCAATCATTCTTGTTGCCATAATCTTGGTTTTTTTGACGTTTAGCTGCAACCTGGCTTTTGCGCTTTCTTCTTTCACCTTGATTAGAAGGCTCCTCAGCTCCTCCTCGCTTTCGGCCATCAGAGTGGTGTCATCTGCATATCTGAGGTTGTTAATGTTTCTTCCAGCAATTTTCACCCCAGCTTTGCATTCATCCAGCCCCGCACATCCTCGCATGACGTGTTCTGCATACAAGTTAAAAAGGTTGGGTGAGAGGATGCAGCCTTGCCGTACGCCTTTCCCAATCTTGAACCAGTCTGTTGTTCCGTGGTCAGTTCTGACTGTTGCTACTTGGTCCTTGTACAGATTCCTCAGGAGAGAGACAAGGTGGCTGGGATGCCCATCCCACTAAGAACTTGCCACAATTTATTATGATCCACACAGTCAAAGGCTTTAGAATAGTCAATGAAGCAGAAGTAGATGTTTTTCTGAAACTCCCTGCCTTTCTCCATTATAGCTCTTTTTTATGTTTTGCTTCGAATAACGAGATCCAGAGCGGGTTGCGCCTAAAAAGTCTGTTTTTGTGTTTCTCCCACGTTTTAATTAGGGCGGCCCTTATCATATGATTTGTAAAAAAAAATTTCTATTTTTCTCCGGTCATACCATAAATAACTGTGCCACCCAGCTCTTAAATCGTGGCCTTCTATAGTTAGTATATGGTTGTTTTTTTAGTTTTGCCCAATCTCTAATTGCTACCAAATTGCAGGCCTCATGATATGTTCTGAAATCTGGCAGACCCAGGCCACCTCTTTTTTTGTCCTCCGTCAGTATTTTCAGGCTGATTCTCGGTTTTTTATTTGCCCATATAAATCTTATTATTCAGTTCTTGTGGGTTTTTTCGGGCTATATGGCCATGTTCTAGAGGCATTTCTCCTGACGTTTCGCCTGCATCTATGGCAAGCTTCCTCAGAGGTCTGCTGGAGCTGGGAAAAAGGGGTTTATATATCTGTGGAATGACCAGGGTGAGACAAAAGGCTTTTGTAAGTTGGGCTAAGTGTGAATCTTTTCAACTGACCACCTTGATTAGCATACAATGGGCTGACTGTGCCTGGAGCAAACTCTTCTTGAAAGGTGATTAGATGTCCCTGCCTGTTTTTCTCTCTGCTGTTTTAATTTTAGAATTTTTTAATACTGGTAGCCAGATTTTGTTCATTTTCATGGTTTCTTCCTTTCTGTTGAAATTGTCCACATGTTTGTGGATTTCAATGGCTTCTCTGTGTAGTCTGACATGGTGGTTGTGGAGTGGTCCAGCATTTCTGTGTTCTCAAATAATATGCTGTGTCCAGGCTGGTTCCTCAGGTGCTCTGCTATGGCTGACTTCTCTGGTTGAAGTAGTCTGCAGTGCCTTTCATGTTCCTTGATTCGTGTTTGGGCAATGCTGCGTTTGGTGGTCCCTATGTAGACTTGTCCACAGCTGCATGGTATACGGTAGACTCCTGCAGAGGTGAGAGGATCCCTCTTGTCCTTTGCTGAATGGAGCATTTGTTGGATTTTCTTGGTGGGTTTGTAGATTGTTTGTATGTTGTGTTTCCTCATCAGCTTCCCTATGCGATCAGTGGTTCCCTTGATGTATGGCAGGAACACTTTTCCTCTGGGTGGATCTTCATCTTTACTCTCGTGGCTTGTTCTTGGTCTTGCAGCTCTTCTGATGTCTGAGGTGGAGTCTCCATTGGCCAGGAGAGCCCAGTTGAGGTGGTTCAGTTCATCTTGGAGGAGGTGGGGTTCGCAGATTCTTTTTACACGGTCTGCCAAGGCTTTAATGGGGCTTCTTTTTTGACTTGGGTGATGGTTGGAGTTTTTATGTAGATATCTCAAGGAACATGAAAGGCACTGCAGACTACTTCAACCAGAGAAGTCAGACATAGCAGAGCACCTGAGGAACCAACCTGGACACAGCATATTATTTGAGAACACAGAAATGCTGGACCACTCTCACAACCACCATGTCAGGCTACACAGAGAAGCCATTGAAATCCACAAACATGTGGACAATTTCAACAGAAAGGAAGAGACCATGAAAATGAACAAAATCTGGCTACCAGTATTAAAAAATTCTAAAATTAAAACGGCAGAGAGAAAAACAGGCAGGGACATCTAATCACCTTTCAAGAAGAGTTTGCTCCAGGCACAGTCAGCCCATTGTATGCTAATCAAGGTGGTCAGTTGAAAGATTCACACCTAGCCCAAAGACAAAAGTCCTTTGTCTCACCCTGGTCATTCCACAGATATATAAACCCCTTTTTCCTAGTTCCAACAGACCTCTGAGGATGCTTGCCATAGATGCAGGCGAAACGTCAGGAGAAATGCCTCTAGAACATGGCCATATAGCCCGAAAAAACCCACAAGAACTGAGTGATTCCGGCCATGAAAGCCTTCGACAAATCTTATTATGTCGGAGTTCCACTTTTTGAAAAGGAAATTATTTCTAATCACCGGGATGGTTTGAAAGAGAAATAGTAGTTGCGGTAACACTATCATTTTGCCCTTCCCCTCCCTTCCCTCCTCTGCCGGGTGGGGCTGGATGTCCTCGGGGGTTCCCGCTTGTGGGCGGGCGGGCGGTGGGCGGGGCGTTTGGGGCTGGTGGGCGGGGCCGGGGGGCGGCGGTGGCGGGCGGGCGGGCGGGCAGCGCTGCCCGGGCTGCAAGGATGGGGCATCATCGCCCGGTCGCCCTCCGCCTCGCCGCCGCCGCCGCCCCGCTCCTCCTCGCCGCCCTCCTGCTCCCCACCGCCGGTAAGGGGGCCCCGCCGCAGGGAGGGAGGAAAGACCCCCGCCCAGCCCCATTCCCCTCTCTCTCCCCAAGGGTCCGCTCGGGAAGGCAGGCAGGCAGGCAGGCAGGCAGGCAGGGCGACACCCGGGAAGGAAGGAAGGAGGGAGGGAGGAGGTAGAAGAAGGAGGAAGAGAGGGGCCCGCTCTCCCCTGCCTTCCCCTCCCCCCCCCCCCCCCCCCGGAGCACATGACTCTGACAGCTTCACCCACCTGGGAGAAGGAAGGAGCCGCAAGCCATCCCTCCCTCCTTCCCTTCTTATTGCTCTCTCCTCTCCCTCCTTCTTCTCTTTTCCTTCCCTCCTTCCTTCCTTCACCTCCTCCCTCCTTTCCTTTCTTCCTTTCCTTCTTCCTTCCCTCCCTCCCTTCATCTATCTTTTCCTTCCTCCCTTCTTTCCTTTTTCCTTCTTCCTTCCTTCCTTCCCACCCTGTCCTTCCTTATCCATCAATCAATCTGTCTTTCATCCCTTCATTCTGTCTTTAATTCCTTCCCTCCTTCCTTCCTTCATCCACCCTTTCTTCCCTCCCTCCCTCTTTCCTTCTTTGCATCCTTCCTTCCTCCCTCCTTCCTTCCTCATATCCTTCCTTCTCTCTTTCCTCCTTCCCTCCCTCCCTTACATCTCTCCCTATTTCTCCCTCCCTCCTTCCTTACCTTTTCCCCTTTCATCCTTACTTCCTTCCCTCTTTGCTCCCTCCTTCCCTCTCTCTTTTCCCTCTTCCTTCCTTCCTTCCTTCCTTCCTTCCTTCTATCCATTTCCGCCCTTCATTCTGTCTTTAATTCCTTCCCTCCTTCCTCCCTTCATTCACTCTTTCCTCCCTCCCTCTTTCCTTCTTTTCATCCTTTTTTCCTCCCTCCTTCCTTCCATCAATCCTTCCTTCCTTCTATCCTTCCCTTCCTCCATCCTTCCCTCCCTCCCTCTTTCCTTCATCTATCCTTCTTTCTTTCCTCCCTCCCTCCCTCCTTTCCTTTTTCCCATCCTTTCCTCCTTCCTTCCTTCCCGCCCTCAGTCCTTCCTTCCATCAATCAATCCATCTATCTTTCCTTCCTTCATTCTATCTTTAATTCCTTCCCTCCTTCCTTCTTTCATTCACTCTTTCTTCCCTCCCTCTTTCCTTCTTTTCATCCTTTCTCCCTCCCTCCTTCCATCTATCCTTCTTTCCTTCCTTCTATCCTTCCCTTCCTCCATCCTTCCTTCCATCTGCTTCTTTCCTTTTTTCCTTCCTTCCCTCCCTCAGGCCTTCCTTCCATCTCAATCTATCTATCTATCTATCTATCTATCTATCTATCTATCTATCTTTCCTTCCTTCATTCTGTCTTTCCTTCCCTCCTTCCTTCATTCACTCTTTCCTCCCTCCTTACTTGCTTCGTGCCTACAGCAGGCTTGCCGCCTTTCCTCTTCCGTCCTTACTTCATTCAGTCCTTTCCCTTCCATTCGCCTTCCACCTCTGTCCTTTATTCCATCCGATCAACAATCAATCTTTCCTTCTTCTTCCTCTTTCCTCCTTCCTCCTCCTCCCTCTTTCTCTTTCCATCCTCCTTCCTCCCCTTTATCCTTCCCTCTTTCTCTCTTCTCCTTCCCTCTCCTCCTTCTTTCATCCTTCCCCTCCCTCTTCTTTCCTTGCTTTCCTTTTTTCCTTCCTCCTCCTCCTTATCATTACCTTCCCTCTATTATTTCCTCTTCTTTTTTTTTACTCCCTCTTTTCCTTCTTTCCTTCTCTTCTTCCTTCTTTCTCTACCTCTTTCCTTTCTTCCTCCTTTTCTTTTCTCCTTCCTCCTTTCCTTCCTTCTCTATCTGTCCCACCTACGAGCATTTTGTTGGTAAAGAGTATCATCTATCTATCTATCTATCTATCTATCTATCTATCTATCTATCTATCTATCCATCCTATCTATCTCTCCCTCTCTATTCTATCTATCTATCTATCTATCTATCTATCTATCCATCTTCTTCCTTCTTCCTTCTTCCTTCCTCCCTATCTATCCCCCCTCCCTCCCTCCCTCCCTTATCATGCTGGACACGTGTTCCCCAATCCACACCACCTCGTCTCCTCTCTCCCGCCCCTCCCCTTCTTTCCCCCCCCCCACCCCTCCCTCTTTTGATGCAGGATCAACCCAGTTCATCTCCCAGGGATGAGGCAGGGCTGTGCCTTTTGGGGGAGTGGAGTGAGGGAGGGGGGCCTCCCCCACCCCTTTTTCCTCCTTCCTTCCTTCCTCCCCCCCCCCCAATGCTTTTGCCCCCCTTGACTGGATAGAGAGCCAGAGAGAAGGTGCCTGGGCTGTCTCCATGGCAACAGTGGGGTAAATAAATAAATCTGGGATTCAGGGGAGGGGGGGCGGGAAGGGGGGAGATCTACAAGGAGGGGGGGCTTGGCCGAGACCTCCTCACAGTCACCCTCCTATATCACCCTGTGCATTTTTACAGATGGAGATAAGGAGTGACCTTCTAGTCCTGGGGGGGGGGGTCTCTTCAAGGGGAAGCCCACCCAGACCCATCTCCAGCCAGTGCCCACCCACCCCTCCCTTCATGGCTCCCTCTTCCACATCCAAAACTGGGGGTGATCCCTTTCATTTTTGGGGAAGCGAAAACACGGCACGCCCCTCTTTCCATCCAAGGCAAAGCGGCATCATCTCCAACCCCATTTTTTTCGGGGGGGGGGGCTGTTTCCTCCATTTCCTCCTCTAAATCCATCCTTCCTTCCTTCCTGTCATTCTCTTCATCACTGGATCCTAAAGCATCGTTTAAAAAACCTTTTTTCTTGGTGTTTTGAGGGACCCACCCGCCCACCCACTCTAGCTCATCCCGAAAACCATCTATTCATCCTTCCTGCCGTTCTTACGGTCCTTCCATCTCAAACCTAAAACCATCTATCCATCCTTCCTGCCATTCTTTTATTCCACCCATCGCAGCCCTGAAACTTCTATCCCTCCCTCCTTTCCTTCCTGCCTTCCATTCTTTCACTCCTTCCATCTCAAACCTAAAACCTTCTATCCATCTTCCTTCCTTCCTTCCTTCTCAATCCTGAAACCTTCTATCCATCTATCCATCCATCCTTCCTGCCTTTCTTCCATTCTTTCATCCAATCTATCTCAACCCTGAAACCTTCTATCCCCTTCCTTCCTTCCTTCCTTCCTTCCTTCCTTCCTTCCTTCCTTCCTTCCTTCCCAATCCTGAAACCTTCTATCCATCTATCCATCCTTCCTGCCTTTCTTTCATTCTTTCATCCCATCCATCTCAACCCTGAAACCTTCTATCTAACCATCCTTCCCTCCCTCCCTCCCTCCCTCCCTCCCTCCCTCCCTCCCTCCCTCCATCTCAACCTGAAACCTTCTATCCATCCTCCTTCCTCCTTCCATCTCCATCCATCTCAACCTGAAACCTTCTATCCATCCATCCTCCATCCATCCATCCATCCATCCATCCATCCATCCCTCCATCCATCCATCCATCCATCCATCCATCCATCCATCTCAACCCGGAAACCTTCTATCCATCCATCTATCTACCTATCCTTCCTTTCTTCCATCCATCCATCCATCCATCCATCCATCCATCGCAACCTTGAAACCTTCTATTCATCCATCCTTCCCACTCTCCTTCCTTCTTTCCTTCCTTCCATCCATCCATCTCATCCCTGAAACCTTCTATCCTTCTTTCCCCCTTCCATCCTTCCATCCATCCCTCCTTCCTTCCATCCATCCATCCATCCATCCATCTCAACCTGAAACCTTCTATCCATCCATCCATCCATCCATCCATCTATCTCAACCCTGAAACCTTCTATCCATCTATCCTTCCTTCCTTCCTTCCCTCCTTCCATCTATCCATCCATCCACCCACCCATCCATCCCTCCATCCATCTCAGCCCTGAAACCTTCTATCCATCATTCCCTCCTTCCTTCCTTTCTTCCATCCATCCATCTCGACCTGGAAACCTTCTATCCTCTATCCTTCCTTCCCTCCTTCCTTCCCTCCCTCCTTCCTTCCCTCCCTTCTTCCTTCCATCCATTCATCCATCCATCCATCCATCTCAACCTTGAAACCTTCTATTCATCCATCCTTCCCACTTTCCTTCCTTCCTTCCTTCTCTCCTTCCACCCATTCATCCATCCATCCATCCATCCATCCATCCATCCATCTCAACCTTGAAACCTTCTATTCATCCATCCTTCCCACCTTCCTTCCTTCCTTCCTTCCTTCCTTCCTTCCTTCCTTCCTTCCTTCCTTCCTTCCTTCCTTCTCTCCATCCATCCATCCATCCATCCATCCATCCATCCATCTCAACCTTGAAACCTTCTATTCATCCTTCTTTCCCACTTTTCTTCCTTCCTTCCTTCTCTCCATCCATCCATCCATCCATCTCAACCTTGAAACCTTCTATTCATCCACCCTTCCTTCCTTCCTTCCTTCCTTCCTTCCTTCCTTCCTTCCTTCCTTCCTTCCTCCTTCCATCCATCCATCCATCCATCCATCCATTCATCTCAGCCCTGAAACCTTCTATCCATCCATCTATCCTTCCCTCCATCCATCCATCCATCTCAACCCTGAAACCTTCTACCCATCTTTCTCTCCTTTCTTATTCCTATTCTTTCATTCCTTCCATCTCAGTCCCAAAACCATCTATCCTTCCTTCCTTCCTGCCTTCCTTCCATCTCAGCCCTGAAACCTTCTATCCATCTATCCATCCTTCCTTCCTGCCGTTCTTTCTTTCCTTCCTTCCTTCCTTCCTGCCATTCTGCCCACCTCTGCCCTGCATCCCTCAGCCTCTTCTCTCTCCCTTTGTGGGGAGCCTTGTAGGCAGGGAAACCAACCTGCAAACGCTTTGCCTGGGTTTGTGTGGGGAAGGCCCACCCCACCCGCCAATCCTGTTACTAGACCAGCCTTTGCTCCTGTTATAAACTGTCATGGAAATCTCTGATAGGCAGGATGTATTTTCATTCACCACAATTTGAATATTGATGGGGATTG